CACACCGCCGACTATCCCGCGGTGTGAGTGCTCCATGCCTGATGTGCGATTCTCACAGCGCTCGGTTCGCAGAGCACTCCTCTCCCTTGACATCCAGAAGTCGAGTGGGCCTGACGGAATCCCCCCAATTGTGCTGAGGACGTGTGCTCCGGAGTTGGCACCGGTTTTAACGCGTCTTTTCTGGTACTCCTACTCCCTAGGCGTAGTCCCGAAATCATGGAAGACAGCTTTTGTCCACCCGATCCCTAAAAAAGGCGACCGCTCAGATCCGTCCAACTACAGGCCTATCGCCATCACCCCCTTGTTCTCCAAAATAATGGAATCCGTTGTAAACTGCCACCTCATGCGGTACCTTGAGGATCACCAGCTGATTAGTGACCGCCAGTACGGTTTTCGTCGGGGTCGATCAGCTGGTGATCTTCTGGTCTACTTAACTCATAGATGGGCGTTGGCAGTAGAGTCCAAGGGGGAGGCATTGGCCGTTAGTTTGGACATTGCGAAGGCCTTCGATCGGGTTTGGCACAAAGCGCTTCTTTCGAAGCTCCCTTCCTATGGGCTTCCCGAGAAATTATGCAATTGGATCACCAGCTTTCTTGCAGATCGGAGCATCAAGGTCGTTGTAGACGGTGCATGCTCCGACTACAAGCCTATTAACGCTGGTGTTCCACAAGGCTGCGTGCTATCACCAACGCTGTTTCTTCTGCATATCAATGATATGTTGCAAGCTGGTAGCATTCATTGCTATGCAGATGACAGCACTGGTGATGCTTTATACACCGGCCGTGCCAATATTTCTCGGGAAAACGTCACCGAGTACCGGAACAAACTTGTGTCTGAAGTCGAGTCTTTGCTGGACAAAGTCTCGGATTGGGGGCGACTAAATCTAGTCCAGTTTAATCCTCAGAAGACACAAGTTTGCGCGTTTACCGCTAAAAAGAACCCCTTTGTCGTATCTCCTCAGTTTCAAGGTACTCCCCTTGTTGCCTCAGCCAGTATCGGAATCCTCGGCGTCGACATATCGAGTAGCGTGCAGTTTCGTGGTCACTTGGAAGAGAAGGCCAAATTGGCCTCTAAAAAGCTTGGCGTGCTCAGCAGAGCGGGACAGTATTTCATGCCGGCTCAACGCCTGCAACTTTACAAGGCGCAGGTTCGGCCTCACATGGAATACTGTTCCCATCTCTGGGCTGGGGCTCCCCAGTGCCAGCTTCTTCCACTTGACCGCATCCAGCGCAGAGCGGCTTGAATCGTCGACGACCGAGTCCTTTCCGATCGGCTCGACTCATTGGCACTGCGAAGAGATGTTGCATCTCTTAGCATTTTCTTTCGCATTTACCATGGGGAGTGCTCTGAGGAATTGTTCGGATTAATCCCAGCCGCCAAATTTCACGAACGCACATCGCGGCAGAACTCCCGATACCATCCACACCATCTGGATGATTGGCGGTCCACCACTGTGCGATTTAGAAGATGTTTTCTTCCTCGCACAACTTCCTTGTGGAATAGTTTACCACCAGCGATTTTTCCGGACCGATACGACTTAGGGACCTTCAAGAAAAGAGCCTACTCCTTTTTAAAAGGCCGGCAACGCATCTGCAATTCCCCTGGTGTTGCGGTTGTTCATGGGCGGCGGTAGTCACTTACCATCAGGTGAGCCGCATGCTCGTTTGCCCCCTCTCCTATAAAAAAAAAAAAAAAGGAAAAGGGGAGATCTCCCGCCGGGCAAGATGTTCCGCCCGGGGAGCGGTAAACGCACCGAGTGGTAGTTCGGAGCTCTTCTATATATATTGCTTTAATTTCGGAACTTTGTTAGCGCGATTTAAGCTTCGATGTGTTTCGCTTGTGGCGCAACGACAGACGACGACGACATTCTTTCTTGATTTTGTTGCCAAAATCCAGAAATCACCCATGCTAAGCCGGGGTGGATATAAAATAAAAAATATTTCACGGCAAATAATTTATTTGATATGATAATTTGTAACCACAAGTGCATCGTAAAATATAATAATATTCAAATCACAGCGATACTAAAATAGTTTTTACTTCAAAAAATTAGATAGCTTAACCGGCCACACGAAACTGGTGCACAAGCCAGAATAGTAGAAAAAAAAATGGTGGGGGTGCTACTAGCTCAAAAAGAGAACTCCATCCTGTTTAACCATCCTGGCTTTAGATACTTATTAGCCCAGAAGTAAAGCTTATTCTGTATAATATGAAGTCCGAGCAACTAGCTTGCTAACTTACAACTTACAAGCACGAGTTGCTATCCGTGCATAGTATCGTAATAAGTATCGAAATCGTCTTCAAACTATTATTTAAACGATAAAACTGGAGCAGCAATCATCTGGCGGTTTAATTCACGCGAAATTCCTCTAGCCTCCCTAATCGTTAGAGAAAATATAATTTTCATATTTAAAAATAAATAAAAATACATATAGGTGTTACTAAATTTTAAAAGTTCATTGATTTTACATCACTAAAAATAGGCGGAGCTTACAGCGTCCGCCATTTATTGTTTCAATTTGACACGATTTTTTGTAGGCCTGTCATGTCCTCTATTTTATATGCTCAACAAAGGGTCAACAACAACACACCATCTTGTTTTGACAAATTGAGACTGACATAAATAAAACATTGCGATATGCGTAGATAGAGAATTGGCGATATGAAAGTTTCCAAATAATTCGAGTGTCTGCTTTCATTTGCCAGACTCTATATATATTTATTATGTTTGCCACAAACACCAAGCATGCGGCCTTGTGCGCATGGCACAAGACCGCGTCCGATGCGTTGAAGCGATGGTGTTCGGTAACCTCCGGTAGTAATGAATATTTCCGAAGAAGTAAAGATGGTTAATATATCTTTTGCCTTTTAAAATAAACAGTTATAAAAATAACAAATTTATTAAATAAATAAAATTATCCATCATCATCATTACAGCCCTTCACAAGTCCACTGCTGAACATAGGCCTCCCCCAAGGAATGCCACAAAGCACGGTCCTGAGCCACCTGCATCCATCGAATTCCTGCATATCTTACCAGGTCGTCACTCCATCTAGTGGGAGGACGCCCTACACCCTGCCTGCCAGTACTAGACTGCCACTCGAGAACCTTTATTCCCCATCGGTTGTCGGTTCTTCGGGCTATATGGCTGGCCACTTGCCACTTCAGCTTACCGTTGGGCTATGTCGGTTACTCTGGTTCTACTGCGGATATCCTCATTTCTAAGTTTATCACGCAGAGATACTCCGAGCATAGCTCGCTGAGCGACCTTGAGCTTCCTCATCGGGCCAGCAGTGAAGGACCACGTCTTAGTTCCATAGGTCATCACTGGCAACACGCACTGGTTGTACAGTCTTGTTTTCAAGTTTTGAGGTATACCTGACAGGAAGATGTGCCGTAATTTCCCGAACGCTGCCCAACCGAGTTGAATCCGTCGATTGACCTCTCGGTCAAAGTTGGACTTACCTAGTCGGACTATTTGTCCTAGGTAAACATACTCGTCAACAACTTCGAGCTTAGTGCTCCCAACTACTACCGGCATAGGTGTGACATTGACGTTAAACATGATCTTTGTTTTGTCCATGTTCTTCTTAAGATCTATCCGTTGGGAGACACTATTGAGGTCATTGAGCATAGTGCTCAGGTCCTCCAGCAATTCTGCCATAATTATCCATAATGAATAAAATTATCATATTCCAGTCCATTCAAAACAATCCACGAATCCACGATCGATTTTCTTACCTTACGGATTTATATTAAATTATTCATATTTATGCCATCTAGCGTCTTTTTTACGTACCACCTTAAAAGTCATTCAATTTTCGTTCGATAAAATGACATTACCTATAAAATGGAATAGATGGCAGTTTACGAAGCAGTGTTATTCGAAAGAAAATATTCTTTATAAACATCAATACCACAGTCAATACATGTATTCTTTTGATTTATTACATTAAAATTTAGCCTTCGCATTTAGTGTCACTACACTAAATAATAAAAAACGGTAATTCAAACATAAGATTTTAGTTACGAGTTTAATTTACACCGTTTATGATGCCGAGACGTAACACATAGTTCTGTGATCATTTTGAAAAATATGGCGGAGACAATATGTAATTAAGGTAAAAAAAGAACTATCGAACAAATAATGTTTCTGAACATTATTAAAATATAACCAATAACCATGTCTACTTAATAAAAGAATCAATAAAAAATTGAAGGCAGAAAATATAAATTACTAAACATTTATATTTTAGAGTAAATCTAAATACCTAATAATCATTGCAAATAATCAACATTTTATTGTTAATTATAATATAATGTAAATATTGAATTAATAAACTTTGAAATACGCTTAGCTTAATAAGACTTTTTAACACTACACAGTCCTGTACCTATTAAAGTATGAAGAAATGTTCATTCATTTAAAATTTCCGGCGTAAAATTTAACTAACAAAATTAACATGAACTAATTAAAAATAAAAATTCAATATGAAAGTAAGTAATATTTTTAACTGTTAATTAATTAATATAATAATAATTATCTGTTAAAAAAATTAACAAATAACTTTTAACAATTAAAATAAATTTAACCATTAACGCCATGTCTAAGAAGGAGACTAAATTCATAGAAAGGAATAAAATAAAATTGAAATAATGCGTTGAGTGTGTTGACGTAAATTGACAGCTAATATTATCAACTTGTTTTTTCATTGCATTCGCAACATTGACAAATGAAAACCCGTTAAAAAAACAGTTTATTGATTCAACGCCCACTTCTACAAGCATCCACATGCTTGGTGTTTGTTTTGTGCGTCCACAGTCCACACCATAGAACACTAATACCCTTAGGCGGTCCACACGCGGCATAATATGGCTCTATGCGCTATAAATTTTTTTCAAACATCCCTACTACGCCAGTATATTCTAAGTCTATGACTTCTACTATCTTCTCTAGTTCATCATTCATCTGTGGGCAGTGTCACATTTGTTTTGTCAAAATGGCGTTTAGTTTTCCTGCCTTCTCGTATATTATTGCCTTAATTGTGGACGCTTTTCTTATATTTTTCTCTATATTTCATGTAATAGCGTTCGATGAATTAAAAACCGATTATAAGAATCCTATAGATCAGTGCAATAGCCTAAATCCAGTTAGTATTTCATTAACTTGTTTACGACGGCATTAAAGCAGAATGTAACTTGTTTATATCTTTTTCAGTTGGTGTTACCGGAGTATTTATTGCATTTATTCATTAATATTTTATTCTTGCTTTCTGGAGAATGGTTTTCTTTATTGGTTAATGTGCCATTGATTCTGTATCACATTCATAGGTAAGTTAGGTTATAATAACGAGAAAATAATAATTATACATTTATTAAGAAATTTCCTTCTTTAAATAATTAAATCGTAAAATAATTTACATATCATTCCTATTATTTATGTTTACACTAAGATATTTTTATTGTTTATTTCTAGATATCGAACAAGACCTGTGATGTCAGGGCCCGGCCTCTATGACCCTACAAGCATAATGAATGCAGATGTACTAACTGTATGCCAGAGAGAAGGTTGGATAAAATTAGCGTTTTATCTTCTGTCATTCTTTTTATACCTTTATGGGTAAGTAATAAAAGCTCAAACCAAAATCATATTGTGTAATCCTCAGATTTACATTAGAGAATCCCCACTTGATTTTCTCCCGTGTCCAAGAGGCGACATGGAAAAAAATAGAAGATTGGTAGCAGCATCTTTCCTGATAGAAACACATAATAATAAAAAATTGTGATTGCTTATCTGCCTGCGAAGCGTCCCCATATAAGGCAATTAATACGGGAGGTCATGTTTGTTCAATTATAGGATAATTGTTGATCAATCATATTTGAAGGGCTAAATTTATTTAATTGAGGAGATTATACGAGGGTGGATTGAAAAGTACTCGGCCTAACCAAGAAAATAAACAAATACTAAATCAGTTATTTTTTTATTTTTCTACATAATCACCATCAAGTTCAATACACTTTTGCCACCTCCCCTTCCAAGCATTTAGACCATTGAAAAAAGATTCTTCCTTAGAGTCAAAATATGCGTCTACAGCTGCTTTGACCTCGTCGTTTGTCGAAAATCTTTGACCTCCCAAGTGCTTTTTTAGGTTAGGGAACAGAAAGAAGTCTGATGGTGCCAGATCAGGTGAATACGGCGGATGCGGTTACAGTTCAAAGCCACAGTTGTGAATTTCAGCCATTGACTGTACTGACGTGTGAACACGGGCGTTATCTTGATGAAACAGGACTTTTCTTCTGAGCATTCCTCGACGGTTTTCTTTTATTTCCTCTAGTAAACGACGTAGTAAGGTGCAGTAGTAATCAGAGTTTATATTCTGACCCCTTTCAAGATAATCAATCATAATCACACCTTTCGAGTCCCAGAATACTGAAGCCATCACCTTATTTGCCGACAAAATCGACTTAGCCTTTTTAGGGGGTGGTGAACCAGGTCTTCTCCACTGTTTTGATTGTTGTTTTGTTTCCGGTGTAGAGTAATGAACCCATGTTTCGTCCATAGTAACAAAACGATTCAAAAAATCATCTGCATCGGCTTCAAATAACTCCAAACAGTCGCGTGAAATAGTCAATCGCGTCGTTTTTTGTTCAACTGAAAGCAGTCGCGGAACCCACCTCGCAGACACCTTGTGGAAACCCAACTCGTTGACAATAATGTTTTGAGTTCGTTCATAAGAGATGCCTATAATCTCGGCTATCTCTCTAATTTTTAATCTGCGGTCTCCCATTATTAAATCAAGTACTTTTTTAATATTTTCGTCAGTAGTTGACGTCGAAGGCCTTCCAGAGCGGGGTTCATCTTTCACACTCTCTCTACCACGCTTAAATTCTGCTATCCATTTTTTGACGGATGAATATGAAAGAGCACAATCGCCTAATGTACTGACCATGTCATCATGGATGGCTTTTGATGATAGCCCCTTCTTATGGAGGTACTTAATGACGGCACGCTGCTCGATTTGCTCCATTCGCGGAAATTATGTCCGATTACTTTGTTAATAAATTTATAAAATCACAACTAATTATCGCACACGTTTCGAACTTCACACAATGAACTAGTCTGAACTGAACTAAATAATGTGGGTAGATTTGATTTTTAAAATTGAATGGATCTGTGTTAGGCCGAGTACTTTTCAATCCACCCTCGTACTATTATGCTTGTCCAATTGTACTAATATTATGTTAAATAAATGGTATCATGGCCAGAGTACTGCTGTACTATGTTGTGGGTCTTCAATTTGCATCCAGCTGAAAAATATTCCTGTAAAAGTACAATTTTTTATATTCTGGTCTGGATGTTTTGTTCCAGTAACACTTACTAGATCTAGAACTGCTTAAACAATATATTGTTTTCATTGTGTAATTTTCTCTTTTCGTTTAGTTCCCATGAGTGAGAAACTGCTTGCAACTGAAAATTATTCATCAAATTTCTTTCTTTCAGTATGATTGTGGTGCTCATAGCTGCCTGAAAATTTGAAAAGTATTTACTGTGAAAGTGCATTTTTCCACAAGTCATTATTTATTGTTAGTTGTCTCTTAAGTAAAATCGAGAACAATTTAAAGAATTTCTAACACTGTTAGAACTATTGTTGTTGTATAGTATTTTGATATTAAATACTCTAAATAATTATTTTTTGTTTTAGTAACCTGTTTCCTTATTTATTATATTATTTTCCTTTTAGTAGCATGACATAAAAATATTAACTACCCAATATCATCCCGTAGGTATCATTAGAGGCATCAGGGGGAAATGAAATGAGATGGGCAGCAGCATCTTCCTAATAATTCAAAATAATAAAAAATGTGGTTGCCAACCCACCTGCCCAGCCAGGCATCATGACAAATATTTCCCTTATGAGGTAATCTATGTTCAGTAGTTGACTTTTGATAGGCTGTAATGATTATGATGATGATGAACCAAAAGAGATTGAAGATTATTACCCTATATGGTGTACCATACTGTGCAATATGTAACAAGAAATTGCTAGGAATAAACATAGAAAAACTAAAATCAACTAACATAATTTGATTTATGTGTTTTTATTAAAAAAATAAGTTTATTTTTACTTGTTAAAGTTCTTAATATAGATTTGTAATGATACATTCCTAAAACTAAGAATTCTCTCTCCCTTACATGTCTGTGGGTGTCCGCCTATTGAACAGAAAGAAAAATTGGTATAAAAAATTCCATAGATACTATTTCAATATATCTATAGATCTGCGGACTTCTTAAGAGAATCAAAATATTTTTTTTGGTATAATTGATAAATTTTTTGGAGAAATCCTTTCTAATGAAGTTGTTACAACTTAATTTGTTTTAATTCTACGTAAAGAAAAATAAATGGTGTCCTGCCCAGTTTGAAGGGCCTCCTTCAATCGCATAGAATTAAATATAATGTATTTCTGCAAAGTAACGCCTGATTCTATGAAATTCTTTCTGTCATGTAATATTCTTGTTGTAAGTTCAACTGTAGTATAACATCGAATCAAGCTGCACTTTCTCAGTGATCAAAAAGGTTGCAAAGAATAGGGTGAAAGGTGAGACCGTCATGTGGTAATAAAGATTCACTAATTTGTCTGCCTGAATAACTTATTTTGGTGAATAATAAATGATTATTCAATAATATTTAAGTCCACAGCGTAATCAAGTTCCATATAAAGCAATAAAAAGTAGAACCAGCCCAGCTAGCATGGGCGGGAGACAAAAGTTTTATCCCCCGATTATATCCACTGACAAGAGGTAAAATTATCTTGTTATGTCAAACAGGGAGAAGTATATCCCGGTTTGACATAACGAGTAGACATATATCGCTCATCGATCCGTAGCATGGAGCCAAATGAAAGATAAAAATTATGCTTTTTAGACATTTGAAAGGAACAATTTTATCCTAGTTCATTGAAAGTGGGTTGAAGTTTATATTCATACAAAAAAATCTATCTAAATCTAAGTTTATCCCAATTTATCTACTGTGGATATTATATCCACCGGTATGCTCATGCTCTAAAGGTGGATAAAACTAAGAGAGGGGATAAACATTTTCTCCTTTCCCCGGGGATAAAATTGTGCCCCACCCATGCTAGCCGGGCAGTTCTCATTCCCTAGTAAAACTATTATTTTACAAGTAGCCGACCTCACAGAATACCGGCGTGAAGTGGAAGCTCTGCTTCTGCATTTCGTTTGGTGCGTGCAGGTAGCCGGATGCTCAATCCCCCCCCCCCCCCTCAACATCAACAATGCTGAAACAGACCGACTCATCGATCACATCCAAATGGCTACAGTTTCCTTGCTATAGCAGATCCCATCCGCAGAGATCGTGATCCGCGGCGATTTTAATGCCCACCACGCCGAATGAATGGTTCGGTTCACGTTTAACCGATCATGCTGGGAGATCTGTTCATGATTTTGTCTTGGCATATGGTCTGACACAACTGGTTATTTCGCCTACGTGGATTTCAGATGTAGAGGATCATGCACCTTCCCTGTTGAACCTTCTGCTGACCTCTCACCGGACAGATATCAAGTCTCCGTCGACGTCCCTCTTGGCTCCTCAGACCATTGTCTAGTCCGAAGTGTGGTGCCATTCACGCTGAAATCGCGGTTACATTCTGCAGGCTGCCGCCGTGTTTGGCACTATGAACGGCCGATTGGGATACGATGCGGTCTTTCTTTGCATCCTACCCTTGGGAGCGGCTTTGCTTCCCGCCGGACGATCCCAACGTTGTTGCTAATTCTGTCAATGATGCTGTACTTCAATGCATGGAACTTTTTATTCCTTCCTCTGTGGAGCCCATCGGAGGTAGATCTCAGCCCTGGTTTAGTCGCTCCTGTAAAATAGCATCACGCTATAAGCAGGAGTGCTACGGGACCTGAGGTGAGGCATCAACGTCCCGGGATGTAAATATCAGCATCCCTACAAATAAGTATAATTCCACCTCCAGTTCCTTCAAAAGAGTCACTGCTAAGGGAAAATCAGAGCACATAGGCAGAATTGGCGAGAAACTAGTTCGCCTTCCTTCGGAAACCTGTGCATTCTGGTCTCTTGCCAAGGCTATTTAAGGGAAATTCTGTCAGCCATCTCTTCCATCAATGTTCAAGAAGGATGTCTCACTAGTCCACGCTGCAAAGGAGAGAGACAATCTGCTAGGTTCTGTCTTTGCGTCCAACTTGGCTCTCGATGACGGGGGGTGCACACCGCCGACTATCCCGCGGGGTTTTGGCACAAAGCGCTTCTTTCGAAGCTGCCTTCCTATGGGCTTCCCGAGAAATTGTGCAATTGGATCACCACCTTTCTTGCAGATCGGAGCATTAAGGTCATAGTAGACGGTGCATGCTCCGATTACGAGCCTATTAATGCTGGTGTTCCAAAAGACTGCGTGCTATCACCATATACGTCAACGTGGTAGAGCCATGCTGCAGCTATATTAATAGTATAGTTGTAGCACGAATGGGTCGGCTCGACCGGGGAAGGACCACGCTCTCACAGAATACCAGCGTAAAATAGCAGCTTAACACTGCTGTGTTTCGTATGGTGAGTGTAGAGAACCGGAGACCCTTTTTACTGGAAAAGAGGCATTCCATCTTAGTCCTCACGGGACAACGCATCTGCATTTTGACTCTTTATTGAGGATAGATGTAGATGTCTATGAGCCACAGCAACCACTTACCATCAGGTGGACTGTGCTCGTTTGTCACCCTATCCTATAAAAAAAAACGCTTTTTCTTCTGCATATCAATGCTATGTTGCAAACTGGTAACATTCATTGCTATGCGGATGACAGCACTGGCGACAGTGCGGGTACGCCAGTCGGGCCAATATTTCTCGGGAAAACGTCGCCGAGTACCGGAACCAACTTGTGTCTGAAGTCGAGTCTTTGCTGAACAAACTCTCTGATTGGGAGCGACTAAATCTAGTTCAGTATAATCCTCAGAAGCCACAAGTTTTGCGCATTTACCGCTAAAAAGAATCCCTTTGTCGTATCTCCTCAGTTTCAAGGCACTTCCCTTGTTGCCTCAGCCAGTATCGGACCCCTCGGAGTCGACATATCGAGTGACGTGCAGTTTTGTGGTCACTTGGAAGAGAAGGCCAAACTCTAAAAAGCTTAAAACTGAACAGTATTTTATGCCGGCATACCGCCTGCGACTTTACAAGGCGCAGTTTCGGCCTCACATGGAATACTGTTTCCATCTCTGGGCTGGGTCTCCCCAGTGCCAGCTCCTTCCACTTGGCCGCATTCAGCGCAGAATGGCATGAATCGTCAACGACCGAGTTCTTTTCGGTTCGATTCACTGTCGCTGCGTAGGTATGTTGCATCCCTTTGCATTTTCTTTCGCATCTACCAAGGGGAGTGCTCAAATTTCACGAACGTACATCGCGGCAAAATCCTCGACACCATCTACACCATCTGAATGCTTGGCGATCCACTACTGTAAGTTTCACTAGGAGTTTTCTTCCGCGTACGACCTCTCTGTGGAATGGTTTATCACCGATGATTTTTCTTATGATATATAGATATGGTGCGTTGCCGGCCTTTTACAAAGGAGTAAGCTCTTTTCTTGAAGGTCTCTAAGTCGTATCATATACTCGTACGACTTAGAGACCTTCAAGAAAAGAGCTTACTCCTTTGTAAAAGGCCGGCAACGCACCAGCAATTCCCCTGGTGTTGCAGTTGTTCATGGGCGGCGGTATTCAATTACCATCAGGTGAGCCGTATGCTCGTTTGCCACCTCTCCTATAAAATAAATATAGATGAAATTACGAGTATTGATGACAGGAAAAAATAAGGATTATCATTATGAACCTGAATTGAAGCACGAGTCCAATGATACAAAGGCGACGCATAGGCAAGCTAATGCCACAATATTTTTGGGATTTAAAGGATTACAAAAGTAATTCGTGGGGTACTATGCTACTAATTTGAGCCCCTACAAAGTTGCAGCCTATATCGTTACTTCAAATCCTACGTACTTCCTGCAAAATACAAAGAGACATTCCTCGCTCCCGATTTCTGGCTATCTGGGGTAGTGTTTCGCCGATACAGGGACGCGCCAATAAAGAAAGTTCCCTAAATAGTATTATGTTTATGTTATATATGTATATATCTACTAGCTGGCCAGGCAGATGTCTCTCCGACTTAGTCCTATTTTTATAGGACAAAGTCAATTACCAATAAAAAATATTGAGGGTCACTTAACGGGATAAGAACTATCCTATCTCTCAAGTTGGACCAAACTGCACACAGTATGCAAAAATTCATTGTAATTAGTTGAGTACTTAGTTTAAGAGTTCATCGCGGAAAAACAATGTGACACGTAATTTTTAAAGATATCTATACTAATAATACTAATATAATAAAGCGGAAGAGTTTGTTTGTTTTTTTGTTTATTTAAACGCGCTAATCTCTGGAACTACCAGTCAGATTTGAAAAAAATTTCCATACATTGCTATCAAATAAAATATTTAATTGCAAT